GGGGAAGGGGGGGTTAGAGAGAGGGGAAGGGGAAGGGGGAGAAGGGGAGAGGGAGAAAGGGGGAGGAAAGGGGAGGGGTAAGAGAAAATGGAAGGAGAAAGAAGGAGAAGGGGAAGGGGGAGGAAAGGGGGAGGGGAGGAGTAAGAGAAAGGGGAAGGGGGAAAAAAAGGGGGAGGAGGGAGGGGTAAGAGAAAGGAGGAGGGGTGGGGTAAGAGAAAGGGAGAGGGGGAAAAAAGGGGGAGGGGAAAGAGAAAGAGGAGAAAGAGGGAAGGATAAGAAGGAGGAGCTAGTGGAATGATGTGTTTGGAATGGAGAAACGGAAGGGGAGGGAGAAAGGAAAGAAAGCAGAGAAAAGAGAAAGGTGTTGGTTAATAAGAAAGAAAAAAGGGGGAGAAAGGGGGGAGGGGGGAGAAGGGTAGGGTGTTGGGGGAGATACGAAAAGGGGGGGAAAGGAAGATGATGTATTAGGGAACGAAAGGAGAGGGGGGGATATGAGGGAAGGAATGGGGGGGGGGGGCGGTGAGAAAGGTGAGGGTAGTGACGATTCACGGATGGAAGGGAGCGGGGGGGGGGGGGCACGGCGAAATGTTAGTGGGAGAGGGGAAGGAGGGAGAAAAAGGGAGGTGTAAGAAGGAAGTTAAACAAGACTCATGGACTGGGAAAAGAAAGAGGGAGAAAGGGAGAGGATAGGTAAAAGGGAAGGGAAAGACAGGAAGAGGGGAAGAGGGGGAACAGAGGGGAGGGGGAAAGTGCGAAGACAGGGGTAGGGGGATAACGGAGAAAGGCGGAGTAAAGGATGGAAGAGCAGGAAGGAAAAGTGTGGTTTGGGGGAAACACAGGGATGGGGGGAGGAGGGAAAGGAGGAGGAAGGAAAGAGGTTAAGAGAAAAACAAAAGAAAGAGAGAAAAAAAAGGAGAGAGGGGTAAGAGAGATGGGTGAGAGAAAGGAAAGAAGAGAGAGTAAAGCACGAAGGTGGGGGGTGGGGGGGGAAGAGGGGAATGGTCAGAGGGGAAGGGAAGTGACAGAATGACTTTTCGGTTTATTTTTTTCTACACGTCAAAATGGGGGTGGGGTGGGGGTGGGGGTGGGGGAGTCGGAGTACGGGGAAGTTCACTGAACTGACGTAGTTTTGACCTTGAGAAGGAAAAAAAAAAAAAAAAATAGTCAGATGGGTAAATTGCCGGACGGGATAGAAAACATTATTTAGTTCACTTCCGGTAAGAGCAGAGATTCCATATAAAAAACAAACAAACACACCCACACACACTCTCTCACACACATATACACACACATCCACATACTCTCCCTCACACACATGCACACACACACTCATCTCCCCCCCACACATACAAACACTCACTCTCACACATATACACACCGGCCCGCACAAACAAATACACACCCACACTTAAAGAGAGTATCCTTCCAGCAAATAACACAAGACCCCTGCCGTGTTTACACTCTCGTAAGCCGAGCTAAATACATACCCCAAAACCTGGTGAAAATAACCCTTACTCTCTCTCCCCTCTCTTTCTTTCTATTCTCTCCTCTTTCTCCCTTTCACATTCCTCCTCCTCCCCTCTCTCACTTTTATCCTCCCCTTCCTTCTCCTTACTTCCTCCCTTTCATCCTCTCCCTCCCCCTCCTCACTTCCTCCCTTTCATCCTCTCCCTCCCCCTCCTCACTTCCTCCCTTTCATCCTCTCCCTCCCCCTCCTCACTTCCTCCCTTTCATCCTCTCCCTCCCCCTCCTCACTTCCTCCCTTTCATCCTCTCCCTCCCCCTCCTCACTTCCTCCCTTTCATCCTCTCCCTCCCCCTCCTCACTTCCTCCCTTTCATCCTCTCCCTCCCCCTCCTCACTTCCTCCCTTTCATCCTCTCCCTCCCCCTCCTCACTTCCTCCCTTTCATCCTCTCCCTCCCCCTCCTCACTTCCTCCCTTTCATCCTCTCCCTCCCCCTCCTCACTTCCTCCCTTTCATCCTCTCCCTCCCCCTCCTCACTTCCTCCCTTTCATCCTCTCCCTCCCCCTCCTCACTTCCTCCCTTTCATCCTCTCCCTCCCCCTCCTCACTTCCTCCCTTTCATCCTCTCCCTCCCCCTCCTCACTTCCTCCCTTTCATCCTCTCCCTCCCCCTCCTCACTTCCTCCCTTTCATCCTCTCCCTCCCCCTCCTCACTTCCTCCCTTTCATCCTCTCCCTCCCCCTCCTCACTTCCTCCCTTTCATCCTCTCCCTCCCCCTCCTCACTTCCTCCCTTTCATCCTCTCCCTCCCCCTCCTCACTTCCTCCCTTTCATCCTCTCCCTCCCCCTCCTCACTTCCTCCCTTTCATCCTCTCCCTCCCCCTCCTCACTTCCTCCCTTTCATCCTCTCCCTCCCCCTCCTCACTTCCTCCCTTTCATCCTCTCCCTCCCCCTCCTCACTTCCTCCCTTTCATCCTCTCCCTCCCCCTCCTCACTTCCTCCCTTTCATCCTCTCCCTCCCCCTCCTCACTTCCTCCCTTTCATCCTCTCCCTCCCCCTCCTCACTTCCTCCCTTTCATCCTCTCCCTCCCCCTCCTCACTTCCTCCCTTTCATCCTCTCCCTCCCCCTCCTCACTTCCTCCCTTTCATCCTCTCCCTCCCCCTCTCTCCCCTCGACCCCCTATCCCTTCTTCCGCCTCCTAGCTCTCCCACCGCTGCCACCCTTTACATAAACAAGAGTCTATATTTCGCCGACCACCTCCTGGCTTCTGACCATAAAATCGACGCTTCTCTGCCTCTCACCTTTGTCTGCTTAACTATTTCTAACCTGCACTCTCTTCTAACACTGCCACACGTGACCATAACACCAAGTTATAAAAAGGAATAAACAAGCAAGAGAGTAAATATTTGTGATGATGATAAAAATAGTGATAGTGATAATGGTAATGATGATTATGATCATGATGATGCAGACAAAAACAGTAACAAACCAACAACAACAATAGTGATTGATAATGATAAGAAAGATAATAACAAATAACACCAATAATGATAACACTAAAAAAATATAAAACTAAGAACTATAATAACAATAACGGAAAGAGTAACATCAACAACTATACACACACACAAAAAAAAAAAAAATCACAGATAAAAAAAAAAATTAAACACATATCGAACTTCCTCTGACGTCACTGAAGCCCACACACACTCCCCCCTCTCCCCCTCCTACCCCTTCCCCCCCATGGCATTTACCGAAGTCTAGTCCTCATCCAACGGCAATATTTGCTCTTAACGGCACCAAATGCACTGGAAAAGTCAAATCAATGTTACCTTCCCCTTCTGCTCTTGATCTTCGAATGGAGGATAAAAAACAGAAAGAGAGAGAGAGAGAGAGAGAGAGAAGACGGTGAAATTAGAGAAAAAAAAGGAGGGGAAGAAGAAGAAATGGAAGGAAGGGGGGAATTATTAATTTTCGGTCGGCGATCAATTTGAATGTGACAGCTTCCCTTCTGGTGAAATATGCGGGGACGGAGTAGATCGATGGAGTGATGTAAGGAAGGCAGGAGGAATGAAGGCGGAGAAGGAAGTGATGGAATGCGAAAGGGGAGATGGAAGAGATGAAGATGATTGAGAAAGGGGTGGATGAGAGGAAGAGAGAGAAACAGTCCGGTGAGGTAGGGGGGAGGAGAGCGAAAAAGGAAGGGGGGGGGGGAGGAAGAGATGAAGTGTGGAAATTTAGAGAAAGGAAGAACGAGAAAGAGATAAAGTGGGAGAAGAAAGAGAGAGAGAGAGAGAGAGAGAGAGAGAGAGAGAGAGAGAGAGAGAGAGAGAGAGAGAGAGAAAGACAAAGAACCAACCATCCATCCACCAACGTTATCCACCTATGTTTATCTCTCTTTCTTATCGTTTCCTGTTTTTAGTCTTTCTCTCTCTCCCTCTCAGCAACAACTTACGCGAACACCACCACATCCTCTCCGTGGTTTGAGCGCCATGTTTGCATAACCGCCACTCAGCACCTGGTTGAGTTATGTTTGCAAGGGCGCCTACTTTCTCTCTGGATCTATAATATTTAGAAAGATTCATCCATAAAAAAGGAATATATGTGAGAGAGAGAGAGAGAGAGAGAGAGAGAGAGAGAGAGAGAGAGAGAGAGAGAGAGAGAGAGAGAGAGAGAGAGAGAGAGAGAGAGCAAATGCATTTACAGCAAGCGGTATCTTCGAAATCAGACGGTATGGAAACGAGCTAAGTTTTCGAATTAAAGAAACTGCTACGTCTGAGGCTTCATTCGGAGAACATTATCATTTGGGAGATTGCAAGTTAAGAAACGCTACCATCTGGAGCTTGGGTTATCCTCACCGCAATTTGGGATCGTCTCAAATTATTATCAGGCTCGGTGCGGTTAACCCATTTAAGTCCCATTTCAGAAAAAAATCAAATGTAGAAATTCAGTTATCTGGAAAGCAGGGTGATG